GTAAAAATCGACGCGTTTCAGAAAGGCGGGGCATAGAGGAGAAACAATAATGTACAGTATGTGGAAAATAATGTGTTTTTTTAACCTTAAACCGCACATTTCATTACACCAAATACACAAAATAATGTTCTTTTTAGCAGCATCATATGACCCCTTTAAAATAACTTTTCTATGTGAATATATTGTAAACTGTAATTTATCCCTGAGATCAAAGCTGTATTTTCAGCATCATTACTCCAGTCTTCAGTGTCACATGATCTTCAGAAATCATTCTAATATGCTGATTTGCTGCTCAAGAAACATTTCTGATTATTATCAATGTTGAAAACAGTCGTGCTGTGTAATGTTTTTGTGGAATCCGTGATGGATAGAAAGAAAAGAACAGCATTTATTTGAAACAGAAATCTTATAACTGTCTTTACTGTCAGTTTTGATCAAATTAATGCATCCTCGCTAATAAAAGCACTTTTGAACGGTAGCGTATATCAAAGTATCACAGTATCACTTTCTGATACCATTGATTTATAAGAGTTGGATGTGAATCCCACAGGATTATATATTACTGAAAATGACTAGTAAATGGATAAAGAGTCGTGATTAGATAAGTGATCCCTATTATTCCCTCTGTAACCCCATTTCACTCAGTCATCGTGCCCTCATTTCAAAAGTTTTACAAAAAGAAATGAATCACACTTTTGAAAGATCAATTTAAAAATCAGTAGCCTAATAAAAGAGATACTTTATTTTATATGGAGCTCATGGACCAGCTGAATACTCACTTTATCTCCTATTACTGGACCCTTTTGCTCGTGAAATAAATGAATCATGTCTGACTGTAAATAGAGCAATCGTCTCGTCTTCTTCCTGGCTTTTCACCGGTGGCATTGACTGATCGCCTTTAAGCTGCACAAATGCATTTGAACAAGAGCACAGAAACCAAGCGTCCACATGAAGATTTACTTCTGACAGTCTCATTTTAGGCTTGTGAAGGAAAAGATCACTAAGAAAGGCTTTCCAGAACAGTTGCTCAACAAAAAGACCTGCATTTGGCTTTTCAATGGCATCTGTAAAATGTGATGGAAGCCCGGCACAAACTCACTGACACTGAATTAACCTCTCTCTTAGAGCGCACGTAAAATAGCATGAACTCAAAGCCCACCTTTGGATATTAAGGGCTTTTTAGCTTAATGAAGTCTTAAGCTGTTTTTGTGTGGAATCATAAAAGAGCTCCAGTGTGGCGTCAATGCAATTTCCACGTCTGATAAACATTAATCTGACCGGGTTACAGAAACGCTGCTTTACAGACGCATCTGATCCGAGACATGCCTGTGGAAAAGACATTTACATTCATGCACTGGACAAACATCTTTGTGTATGTTGTGCTGGCTGATATGACAGTCGTCTCGGACTGAAAGCGTGAATGCAGCATCATGCAAAGGTTACTCATGTCATTATAGAGATGCTCTATTCACAGTTAGCCATGAATTTGAATATGAATTTGATACACAAGCAAAGTGGTCAATAATAGGGGGATAAAATGAGTACTATTCAACATGAGTCCACCAGCTTTACGTACAATAAAATACAGTCGCTTTTGATGCTGATTTGACTGGAGTCTTCATCTCTGTGGATGTCATTTAAACATAAAAGGTGCATTCATTTTATTAATGTGTTAAAATGCTTGGACGTCTATCAGGCAAGACGTTCTGGAGGGTGTAAATCTCACAGTTATACAGTATAATAATTCCTACATACAAATATGTGAATTATTTGGACATTTAAAATGTCTGAATCATACATTTAGTGACTGGACTATTTTGGCCTTTTATTCCCTTTCTTCTGATACCTTTCTGGTATCATTACGCATATCAAGCAAAAGTTATCGAGTTTACCATCTTAACATGGTGATGACAGGAGTTGAAATATTGGATGTAACAAGTAAGCAATATATGGGTAAAACTTTACAATGTTCAAATTTATTAACATTAGTTAATGCATAGCATTTATTTAAAAAACTAACAATTTACAAAAGGTTTCATCTGTTAACATTAGTTAACTATATTTGTTAACATGAACTAATAACAAACAATATTTATATGGAATTTTTGGTAGCACTTTACAATAAGGTTCCATTAGTTAAAAGGCTATGTAAATTAAGCATAAACATTTTTAACGTCATTTTGGACCCGTATCCGGGTCCGCAGAGTTTAACTGGTGGTTAACTAACATGAACAAACCATGAACAGTACATATATTACAGTATTTATTAATCTTTGTTAATGTTAGTTAATGAAAATACAGTCGTTCATTGTTAGTTCATGTTAATTCACAGTGCATTAACTAATGTTAACAAACACAACTTTTGATTTTAATAATGCATTAGTAAATGTTGAAATTAACAATAGCTAAGATTAATAAATGCTGTAGAAGTATTGTTCTTGCTTAGTTCATGTTAACTAATGTAGTTAACTAATGTTAACTAATGAACCTTATTGTAAAGTGTTGCAGAATTTGTAATCTTAATTTTTATTTACTAATGCATTTTTAAGATCAAAAGCTGCATATATTAGTTAATGCACTGCAAACATCAACAAACAATGAACAATTCTATTTTTAGTAACATTAACAAAGATTAATACATGTAAAATATACTGCTCATAGTTAATTCTTTTTTAACTGATGTTAACAAATAAGATTTTATTGTAATGTGTTACCAAAAATCCATTTGTTTATTGTTAATGTTTTCGTGCATTTACTAATGTAAAAAGCTAAAAATTTTGATTTTAAAAATGTATTAGGGAATATTAGGGATACTACAGAAGTATTATTCATTGTTAGTTCATATTAAAGGGGTCATATGATGCGATTTCAAGTTTTCCTTTCTCTTTGGAGTGTTACAAGCTGTTCGTGAATAGATAAGATCCCTAAAGTTGCAAAGACTAAAGTCTCAAACCCAAAGAGATATTCTTTATAAAAGTTGACTCATCCACGCCCTCCTAAAACGGCTTGTTCTAACACCCCCCCACATGTCTACGTCACTGTGTGGGAAGATTTGCATAACACCGCCCAAATGTTCACGCAAAGAAAGAAGGCGTAACTTTGATTCTCGCTGTAGTATTGTTGTTGCCGGCGCCATGTCGTGGAGACGCTGTGTGTTTCGTTGTGAAAGCGAAACTACTTTGTTTGCTCTTCCAAATGTGGACACAACTAGAATCAGTGGTTAAGTTGTATTTA